ACATAGGACTAGAATAGCAGGGACAAACAAGGTCAGGAAGGAGGTGGGCTGACATGGATTCACGAGAATGCTGTACAGCATTTGTCTGTATTGCGGCTGCTTACCCACTTAAGACTTACATGTTTTTTTTTTTTAAACTATATGTACTCCAACACAAAAGACTTGTCTGTTTTGTCCACCTGTTGCATTCTGATAGTGATTGACTTCAACAAAGGCCCCTAGACTGTAAAATTTCTGTGGCAAGGATGGTCTTCTTTATTATGTGTCTATTCAGTATCTAGCACTATGGGGCCCTGATCATTCATTCATTGATTAATTCCTAGGAATTAACAACAACAACAGTAGTGACAACAGTCCAGCCATTTGAACATGTGACTGGGAACCAGAAAGTCCTACACTCCAATATTGATACTAACTTGCTGTGTATAAATAAATGTTTGTACAGGATTATTTTAATGTTTGCAGATTGTTTTAAAATAATAATGTTTGTAAAGTACTTCCATCTGTTTTGTATATTTTATTATTATTCAACATATAAATCCAAAGAAAACAAACTAAGAATGTCTGAGCTAGAGAAAAAGGGTCTGAGGACACGTTTTCAGACCATCCTATGAGATTTAGCCCTGTCACAAATGTGACTTCTATGGAGGATACAGAGTTAAAATCTATCCCGCCACTGAAAATCTACTTCTCTATCCTGAAGTCATTCCATGTTCAGTAGCACAGTTGATCCCCTTTTCCCATTCATATACATGAAATCTTAATTTCTCACCACTGCAATAAGAAGTCATTTATCAATAAGATTTGTCTTTTGTTCCATTGAAAACATTTTTCTTCATCTGCAGTATTTTCTCAGCCCCACTGAACATTATATTGGTGTTTCATATTCACTTCAACTTTGCTTAAGTATTGTTCTTTCTCCAGATGGTGTAGTATTACACACAAGTCTATTAGTCATTCCATTTACTCCACTGCAATGAAATTGCAGTCTACTCTCCTAGATAATTAACTCTTTAGAAATAAAGCTAATGTTTTGCCAGACATATAGCTCTTCCTGAAAGTGAAGCAAGCAGATTGGTTCTTGCAACAAAGCAGACAAGTTGGACCAGAAAATAAATTATAATATATGAGCTTGGGGCCAAAAAGAAGATCCTTTCTCTGATGGCGGAGCAACATCATTAATATTAATTTGTATTACCATAATGCCTATGAGCCCGTGTCATGGATCAGGACCCTGTTGTGCTAGACACTGTACAAACACAAAACAAAAAGACAACCCCTGCCTCAAAGTACTTGCATGTAGGCATGGACAACAATAATTTGGAAAATATATAATGTCACCACCCTGAATATCTTCCCATTTCTAAAACTGAACCTGAATTCAATCTTAGGCTCTGAATAAGTCTTCCCCAACCCACCGAGCACACACTCCAGATGGGATTGGAACAAGAAGTGCCAAAATGGCACAAGATAGTCTGCTCTCATGGTAACCCGCATCCAAGAAGGGAAGTGTCAGACATTGTGTATATGTTCTCATGAGACTTCCAGCCCACTTTATATGAGGTTACGATAATTCAGATAAGTATTGGAACTGAGTTCCTAGCCAATCCAAACCCAAATGCTGAGCATTTCGAGTATCCCTTCACCAAGGCTTAATATGTACTGTATTACACTGACTTGTAGACCTGGGGAAAATATAAGCATTTGCTATCAGGATCTGAACAGGTTCAGTGGGCAGCCAGTAGAGCAAGAGGTGGTGGGGATCTTGAGTCAGTGCCAAATGGGTATTGCTTAAACCAAGGCTTTGACCTAACTGCTATCCTGCCCCCTAGTGAGTCCTCGTGGCTAGATGGGTATTAATTGGGAAGGGCCACTCTATAGGGTCCACATGCTTGGCTTCCCTCCATTCCCACATCAGAGCCCAATGCCGAACAGTCAATCATCACTCAGGGCAAAGAGAACAGGTTATGTCTAATCAGCGGGCTTCCTTTGCCTGCATGAACTCAGTGGCTACCGGTGCAGGACTAAAAAATGAGAGATAGAAGTGGAAATGTTCATGAAGCAAGAGCAAAAGCAATAAATATAAATAACAGATTTGTAATAGTAATGCCCAATCAGCAAGCAACATTGTGTGCATGTAAATAGAACACACAGATGGTTGTACCAAACTTAAGGTCATTATGGCCGAGTTATGCTGACAACTCCAAAGATATTGCTCTGGCTGTTTGCGCCTGGCAATATAGATTGGCACTTGCAGGAGATCTGCATGAGGGAGAGGGACCCCTGAGCACCATCTCCCTTCACCTCCATGCCTGGCCTAAAAATAAACAATTTGTGAAATTAGATAGAATGCTAGATCAATGTAGTAGTTAAGGTTTGTTCTGAAAAATCAAGGGGACCGGTCTCAATGAATGAGAAAATGTGATTGAATCTTTCTTCGCATAAGGTGAGCCAAGAATTTTGGAATGATGAATGTGGTAGTGACAGAGACAGCAATTTTGAAAAGTACTTACGTGACTTACAAGCCTAAGACTCATTTTCAAAAGTCATTTAAGGCCAGATTTTAAAAGGTATGTAGGTGCCTAATGAATTCAAGGTGACAAACATCTAGATGCTGTTGAAAATCCTCCTACATACCTATTTTCATCTTTTAAAATGTGGCCCATAGGCACTTAGGAGCCTTAGTCTCATTGAAAGTCAATTGGGCTAAGATTTCTAAGTCATGTAGATGCTTTTGGAAATTGTAGCCTACACTAGCTCTGCCCATATGCACTGTATATCCTACTCTTTGAAGAAGCTGCTAATATCTGAAGAGGAATATGAAATAAAAGTAACGACGATAATAACCACAGACGTGTAGTCCTGTGTCTGAGCACACAGCTATAACTCATTCATTCTAATTCTGGTGTTTGTCCTGACTGCCTTCCTGGCCTTGGCTAAGTCATTTACATCTCTGCTTCACTTACTCCATCTGGAAAATATGGATAATACTCCACAATTGCTCATCTCTGGGGAATATATGAAAGTTAAGTTAATGATCATGAAATACTTTGAAGATAAAAAAAGCTAAATGGGAAAATGGATGGGAAAAGTGGGTGAGGTGATATGTTTTGTTGGACCAATTTCTACTGGTGAGAGAGAGAAGCTTTCGAGCCACTCTGTTAGCAACAGAAGTTGGTCCAATAAAAGATATTATCTCACCCACTTTGTCTCTCTAATACCTTGGGGCCGACACAACTACAACCACACTGCATACAACATGGGGAAAATGCTCATTTTTATTAATTATTTGCACATATAACACCTTTGATCTGAGTTTCTCCAAGAGCCATACAAACATTAAGCCTCAGAAACACTGCTGTGAGGAAGGAAAATACAATACAGCCTTTTAATAGATAGGCAAACTGGGCACAGCTGGATCACGACCCAAAATTCTTGATGCCGTCTGCTGCTCTAACCACCGGATGACACTGCATCCCAATGTCAAGCTTGAATGGCACTTTCCATTCAGTGCAAGGTTTGAAATAAGCTGGCAAAGATGGCAACTGTAGCAAGAGAGTAACTCTTTCTTGGTCATTGCATCATATTGGGTTTAAAAAAAAAAAAAACATTTACCATCCCTGCAAGCAAACCTTGAATTCTCAAATACAAATCTGTTCTAATAGAGAAGTTTAGACATATACACTTAGATTCCACTGTTTGAAAATGTAGTTAGGAAATTTTTGAAAAGAATCACTTTCCCCTTCCCACCATCCTTATTATACATGCACAGGACTTCTACATCCCCTCTCCCCTGCCCCCGCATTGCCCTTTAAAACACCACTTCTGTGCCAGTCAGAATAGATATGCCATTTTCAGAGAGAAACTGGAAGAAGAAGTTTGTCTCAACTTTTTGGAGATTCCCCTCAGCTTTTCACTAATTCACACTAAAAAAGCTTTGTAAATTGACCTTCATTCTGCATAATTACCATGAGGGGTGTATTTTAAATCAGAAAGAGATTCACAGCTGAATGAACGGGATGAATATTTCTGGGTGTATGTATGTATTTATTCAGCTAACTGATGTCAATATAATACAATTCTTTTTTAAAAAGTATCAGGAAAATACAGGAAAATGTTATATATATTTGGTTTGGTCTTAAATAGTATATCAACCTTTCCAGAAGGTCTAAAGGTGGAATGCCTTTATGAAAAATATTAATTACAGTCCTGTTCCCATGCACTTTTGTGGGCAGTATCCCATGCTATTAGTGATTCTAAAATAACATAATATTGTTCGTGAAGGCCCTAACTGATGGAGTGATTTGCTTTCATTAATTTGTTGAATTAATAATTCACTAAAATGTATGCACAATCTCAGTATAAATCTTTGGCATAACTGTGCATGGAAACAATGAACAAAAAAGAAAAACAATCCTAACTTTCTCTGAAGTAAATTTATGGAACTACAAATACCCTCAAATTTATGCCCAATCCTGCCCACTAGGAAGGGGATCGGGATCACTATGAACGAAATTCCAAATGCAGGATAACATGAAGTAAAGATAACAACAGAGGCTTTTACAGCCAGCTTTTTAGTGACCGAGTTATGCATAGCATTAGCTAGACTTGTTGAGTCATTAGAAACTCGAGACTGAAATAGCATGTTCTCTCCATGAAAACTTGCACTTAAAACTTTAGTGCCATATTAGCACTTCAAAATAATTACATAATCTCATACCGCGCAAATTTAGTTCCCTTTCCAGTCTATGCAGCTGGCGTGTAGAAGCAAGTCTGATTAGGGGGAGCCGCCAAAATCAACCTGTAGGATTAGAACTCGCAGCAGCGAACCTGGGCTATCACAGTTTATCAGCAACAGTTTTCTTGGCAAAAAGAGAGTCCCAAATTCCGAGAGCGGGATAGGGACACTAAAAGCCTCTCAATTCCATACACAACACATTTGATTCACCATGCTACCCTCTTCCCTCCCCCCTCTCCCCCCGTCCTCACCCCAAACTTACAATTAAAGGGATGTGGTAAGAAACGGGAGGGATTCTTGGAAGTTTTCAGGACCCAGTTCCTACATCCAGGCAAACTTCGGAAAAAGTTGGTGCGGGGGCGGGGAGGAGGGAGACAGATCTCCCCAGAGTAGAGTCTCAAAGTCGATGCAGCAACACACCGTTTTCAATTAACCAACTCAGTTCCCACTGGTTCTGAAGTTCTAGTAGCAAGAAGAACGCCCTAGTGTGAGAGAGGGTCCGGATACTTTTTTTTCCAGCTTTGATAAGGGGAGCTATAACCCTGGCTGCAATTAGTTACCACCACGCATGGCAGCATTAACATCCGGATTTCAATCATTCCTTTGCACTCCTATTAATCTGCAGCCTGCTACAAACGAGGTGCCCGAGACTTTAAACAACCTGGCTGGGCTGGGAGCACGGAGGGCACCCAAGGCTAGGGAATCTGTTAAATTAGAGCTTGCCCTTCCTACTAAAAGTGTTGCCCGGGATTTTAAGGGGCGAAATATGCACAGATTGGAGTAAGGAGACGCATCACTTGCACACGCGGATCAATATCCCTCCAACACATTAAACTGACTCACGAGCCGGTAGGTAAGTTTCTAAGTCAGTTTCAGGGGGGTTCAACTTTTCCCAACAACATTCCCCCCCCCCCCCCGAAGTCACCTAATTGCAAAACAACACATCAAGTGCCCCCCCGCGCGCACACGCACACTTTACCTGCTTTTGTGCCGGGTCTTTAATAGATTCCTTCCAAAGGGAGCCATAGCCACTCCAGCGGCCGAACCACCACATCAACGCGTCCAAACCCAAGGCTGGGGTGTTCTTTCCTCCCCCTCTTTCCCCTCACCTCCTTCAGCTTGTTAGTAGTCACCCAGCGTAGCGATGAGCTGGAAGTTGTGCAATTTGCTAACTCTGAACTACTGGTTTGTTGTTGCTGCTGCACCTTTGGAGTCCTGCCCAGCTGCAATCTTCAAGGAGGCGTTTATGAGCAGGAAAAGGAAAAAAAAAACACTTTCTATTGTGATGTGAAGTTATTTGCAGAACTTGCTAAACTTTCAGCCTTGCCAGCCGCCAAGGCACGGATCAACAAAGGGAAAAAGGGGATTTGACTCCAGGAGGGAGCTAGGCAAGAACACACAACAGAAGGATTCAAACTTTCTCCGCCAAGTTCCAGCCACTTAAAGTCAAGTCGAGCAGCTAAACACAAGCCTTAATGAAGGGCAGACAACAGTTGTTCCACCAGTTCTAGTGCATAACAATAACTTTCCTTACAGATCAATCTGTAGCTGCTTCTCATTACAGGGTGTAGCAACAGTCGGGAGATGAAGTGACAAAGTAGGTCACAGCTACTACCTCTCTGGCCCCTCTGTACTTTTAGGTAAACATTTGATACTTTGCTAGGTGCATATAAACCTTTAGACACTTTAGTCTGCAAACCTCACTCAGCAGCCACGTGTGGCTTCATAACACTTTCCAAGAGGGCCTGATTTTCAAAAGTGCTGAGAACCCCCAATTCTAGCTGAAGCTAGTGAGAACTGTAGGTCCTCAGCACCTTTGAAAATCGGGCCATAAAATGGGGCTGTTAGGAAGGGAGAGTGGCTAGAAGAATAGAAAGGGACAATGCAATACCTCATTGCACACTCCAACATGGTGTATTTTTTTGGCCGGCTTTGTTAAAGAAGTGAGCATGTGTTAAAGTTGTTGTTTGCTCCAAAATCCCGGGCACTAATGCATAAAGAGGATTAGTAATAAAGCTTTTGAAAGGGAAAACATGGATCCCATTAACTTCAATGGGCTTTGGCTGGGAATTACAGTGCAGAAAGGCTGACCCATTAAAGCAGAAAGGTGTATAAATAGGGAACTGATGGTGGAGGGTACTGGGGGCAGGGGAGAATGAACCTTTGCCCTGTAGCTTGTACAGTTATTTGCACCTTTACAGAGTAGGTGTAAAATGTTTCCATTCTGAGTTCATTGCATTTTACACTCACTTTATACTGCTGCAAATGGCTATACCAAGCTGTAGGTGTAATAGTTAATCAGGCATCCTGAATTTAGCCTTGTCCCACCTCTGCTGGTGTTTGTATTAAACAAGAGGAGTAATCAGGTAGAGTGATGGGTTTATCTAGAAGGAGCTTTGTCGTTTTTGACATTGGAATAAAATACCCCATTTCCGTAAGCAGAGATGGTCACATCAGCCTGCAATAAACAAAGCTAGAGCCCATTCCATGGGTTACTTATTACTGGCAGCCCTGGGAATGCCCCACATACTTTCAGTTCAATCCCATGTCTGTAAACTCCCTGAGCTGTGACTACAAAGAGAGGAACTGGAGTCACAGCTTGTTTGGGTGGGTTAAATTAACACACACACACACACACACAACAAATCTCTCAGATTCCTGAGGCTGCTGCCAAGGGAGGTTTCATGAAGCAGGATCTGCTTTGGGTATTATATGCCTGATCCAAAACCCACTGAAATCAATGGGAGTCCTTTCGGGTCAGGGTTTATATGCTGTAGGTGGGGATTTCTTCACTTTTAAATGGTGGCAAATATTTTCCAAACCCCCTGAGATGTTTGCAAGACAGTCTTGGCACAGAATTGCTATTTAGCTGCTGAGAATTTCTGAGAGTAAAATAGGTATTAAAATAAAGGGATTTTTCCTTCCCTCTCCCTTGTTGGCAAAGGTAACATTAAATAGCTTTATCTGCTGCATATTACAATGTGAAGCATTCTAATATTGCTCACTTACTTTTCTCCTCATTACAAAGATAAATGGGAATTGGACAACATCTACAGCTGTTCTTACACTTCCAAATTAATCAGCTATCATCTCACAGTATTAATTGATTGTAACTATTAAAGTACGGTGTGATGTAGTGGCCTATTTGTTCCTTTATTCACCTGCAATTGCCAGATAAACTTAATCATATGGATGGGCCTCAGGAAACACAAAGCAGATTTAAAAATAAATCTTTAGGGTAAATTTTATATACACACACTTCATTGTGCAAACCTCTAAAGTTTCCATTTTCATTTTAATGGCATGAATTTTAGGAAAGACTCCTGCAATAACAACTGTACATTTCTATCCAGGTTTGAAATAACATACTTACCCTTTGCACTCTTTCTGAAATGAGACTGAAAATATCTGTATAGTTTACTTTAGAGAGGAGGCAAGTAAGAGAGGTCATGATAGGTATACAAAGTACCAAATGAGATGGGAGTTTCAATAGACTCTTTCTAAAATGCAAGAAGAGGAAACATACAATGAAACTGAAAGGAAACAAATTTCAAAGTGATAAAAAGAAATAGTTTTTTCACACAATGTACAATTAACCCATGGAACTCATTGTCACAAGATATCACTGAAGACAAAAAACTTAGCAGGATTTTATTTTATATATATATAGGTATTATTTTGTTGATATAAAGGTCTATCAGGGGTTCTCACAAGGAGTTTTTTGGTGGCCTCAGAGTACAGCCACCAACTCTTGCTGGTGGCCACTCTGACAGTTTTTCTTAAAATACTTAATTAACTTTAGGAAAAACAAATAAATATGCACATATACATGTCCAAATCATTGTAATTTATTTATGTAGGGTTTTTTGCAGACTCAGTAATAAAAATAATGTTCTGGTGTCTCTATTCTTTACTGGACCTAAACAGAATAGAAACACAAATAAGGTACTTTGTGTGTTTTACTTTTTTTGTTATTGTTATTTTTTTTTTTAGCCTTGGTAGCTGCTGTGAAAAGTGATATTTGTACATATTACTTTTCACAGCAGAGTTACTCATCCCCGGCAAGCTGGGGGACAAATAAAACTCTGGATGGGGAGGTGGGTTAGGAGGCAGGAGACCCAGGGCTTAAAAGGGACTGGAGGAGGCAGTGGTGGTCGGATGATGGGGGAATGTGGGAGTGAGGAGTTGGAGCCTGGGGTCCGGCTGTACAGCTGGGGGCTGGAGGAGGCAGCAGGGGCCAGAAGCAGCATGGGGAGAGGTGATCCTGGGGCTGGAGTCTGAAGCCCTGCTCCCAGTGGGCCAGGGACGTGCTGGCCAGCGCTTCCCGGAGCTCCCATTGGCTGGGAATGGCGAACCGCGGCCACTGGGAGCTGCGGGCGGCTGTGCCTGAAGATGGTCAATGTAAACAAACTGTCTCACAGCCCGTCAGTGGATTACCCTGATGGGTCACGTGCGGCCCACAGGTGGCCCACCACTGGCTTAGGACATTAAAGAAAAAAAAAAATCAAAAGCACCCACATCACTTAGGAGCATCTCATGGAACATTAATGGAACTTAGGCCTGGTCTACATTACAAACATACATCGGTATAACTATGTTGCTCAGAGTGTGAAAAATCCACACCCGTGCGCAACGGAGTTATACCAACTAACCCTCAGTGTAGACAGTGCTATGCCGATGGAAGAGCTTCTCCCTTTGACATAGCTACCAACTCTAGCAGAGGTGGATTAAATTACACCTATGGAAGAAGCTCCCCTGTTGGTTTAGTGGTGTCTTCATTGAAGCACTATAGCAGCACAGCTGCACCACTGCAGTGTTTTAAGTACAGACCTGCCCTTAGTTTTAGGGTATATTTTCAAAAGTGTCTAAGTTACCAGAGCCTAACTAGACTAGACAAATCACTAGAAAATATGCTGCAGGGATCAATCCTTCACTGACAAGAAGATGAACTAAATATGACCTATTCAGTCTTGTCAATCTCTGATTTCTGTGTCTGAGTTGTATGTGGTGCTACATAATTTGCTTTATGCTCTTCTTAGGGCCAGCTGTTCCATATGAGAAATCCACTTGCCGGATATTATGAGAGACAGAAATGCCCTTGGCTGTGCTGTTATCAACTGACCTCGAAACTTTTAGAACAGTAGAGTCAAAACACTTCTGTTTGTTTCACTGCATTGGAGGTCAGATTTTCTAACTTATTTACAGTCATTCACTTGTATTTTAAGGCCCTGATCCTTCACTCCTTGCTCAGGCAACACCCCTATTAGCTTCAATGAAAAGGATGCATGAATACACTCTGCATATGAATTTATTTCTGTCCAGGTATTATATCATATGGAGATTCCTGTTGAGGAATCTCCTTTAATTTTATGTAAAGTGAAGTGAAAGAAGGATATAGTAACTGTTTCAATGTAGGATTGTCTTGCTTTGTGCATAGAAAGAGGCTAAGGATTTAATGTATTTTATGATGCATTAATTTCCTGTTTATAAAGAAATTCTGTTTGTGAGATGGTACTGATCAAGTGGAAGGCTACGCACAACCCTGAAATCAGTAGAGTCATATGGAATTTAACTTGAATAGTTACAATTATAACACAACGGAAATATGAGCCTCTGCCTGAGATACTTTTAGGTGCACTTCACTACACTGAATTTTAATACATTGTCAGTTCAGGCGTCATCTTACTACAAAAGTGTCTTGATGCAATCAACAGCTACAACTCAGCCCTAATTGTTTAATTCAACAGTTCACTTTATAAAGCTTTTCTAATTTGTTGACGTAATTGTCCATTTCCTCAAGATGCATCGAAAATCTTATGCAACTTTCATCTGGTCTATAGCTGATCTAATAGGACAAAATCATGTAAATAGTTTCACAAGTAAGACGAATGTCAATCATTCTGCTTAGTGCAGGATTAGAAGGAGCTCAGATATTACAGTGATTAGTGTGGTAAAAGAACCTATATAGGACTGGATATAATCCAATTTGCTGTTATTCATTGGGTCATATTATTCATTCAATAGAACTGGTTGAAAAGATTTTAAAAAGTTGTTATTTTCTCTTTCAGCTAAAAAAAAATGTACTGGCAGCAGAAATTATTGATCAAATCATTAGAAAGCATGTGGACAGCCACCAGTTTGTTTAGGAAAATGTTTACAAATCACATCATCTTCACAGATTTGGCAAGAACAATGTATTGTCTAAAAATTGGTACCAGAGGTGAATTTAAAATATAACAAAAAAGAAAGCAACAGAGGGTCCTGTGGCACCTTTAAGACTAATAGAAGTATTGGGAGCATAAGCTTTCGTGGGTAAGAACCTCACTTCTTCACATGCAAGTAATGGAAATCTCCAGAGGCAGGTATAAATCAGTATGGAGATAACGAGGTTAGTTCAATCAGGGAGGGTGAGGTGCTCTGCTAGCAGTTGAGGTGTGAACACCAAGGGAGGAGAAACTGCTTCTGTGGTTGGATAGCCATTCACAGTCTTTGTTTAATCCTGATCTTTGATGGTGTCAAATTTGCAAATGTACTGGAGCTCAGCAGTTTCTCTTTGGAGTCTGGTCCTGAAGTTTTTTTGCTGT